CCCCCAAAAAAAAAAAAAACAACTAAGTAATTAATAACATTGCAAAACCATACTTTTTTTTTCAAAATAATATGTATTCATCAATCAAGTATTGTTAATTAAAAAAAATCACTTTTACATAAACATACTACAAATGAATTTTACGCGCTTTCTTGCTGGCAAAAAGTATCAATAATTTTATCGAAATCAATTTTTTCCACCAGCTCTTGTTCAATGGACAAAATGGCCAAGTTAGTGAGTCGTAAATTTGTCATCGTTGATCGCAAGTAATTCTTGATCAGTTTAAGTTTGGAAAAACTTCTCTCGCATGTAGCGACGCTTACCGCAATAGTAAAAAATATGCGAATCATGATGACCATATTCGGGACTGAATCATCTAGCTGATATTTTTTTAAAAATTTCAAGAGCTCAACAGGTCATTGTTTTGGAAGTGCGGAGGCTTCTGGTGAAACTGTGAGAAACCCTTGAGGCCTCTTTCGCTCCAGCAGAAATTCGTTTTTATCAATGTCGCGAGGAGTATTATCGAGATTGATTTCGACCTGAGGATTTAAAAGCTGGGAAGGCGGCTAAAATTCATATCTATCTGTTACATCATGAAGTTGCTCGAATCGGGTGATTATTTCTTGAACAATCCTGTCCAAGGTAGAATAAATTTCCTTTCGTAGCTCTTCTTTGTGTGTAAGTACAGAGTAGTCATTTTTCTCACCAGGCATCTTTTTCTTATGGCCAATACGTTTTTGAAGTTCTGTACTGATTCTCAGATCTGAGCACACGCTTTCGGCAAAGATAATGCTGGCTTCAGCGATGTCCTCTCGATTACTACTTAAAAATGTCTCTAATGTTTTTAGTTTGAGTGAGCAGTCTCGAATAGACAATCCTTGTTTTCGAAGGTAGAATTGCGCATCATTAATTTCAGTTAACACAGGAGCCCAAAATCCAAGATAGGTGAGAAAATTAAAAGACTGAATAGAGACCAATAATCCACCTGCTTCAGATATAGTCGATGAATTTTTATCTCTGCTAGTTAGTGTCTCCAGGGTTTCTAAAATTTTAAAAAATGTATCCCTAATCATCTTGAAGGCTTCTCCTCTGGCGCTCCAGCGGGTCTCAACTAAACGTATAAGGCTAGTTCCGGTTATTTTGATGAGGAAATCCCAGCGGTGTGTTGAAGTTGAGAAAAGGAGTGCTAACGGTCCAGTGTACGTAAAAATGTTACCGAATTGACTTCAGCTTCAGCAGCTCGAATTTCTGCTAAATTAAGAGAAAAGTTTGAGCAGGCAATGAATAGTGACTTCTAGAAAACGTTTTTGGACACCCTAGTTTTGACCTTTCATGACCGCAGCATTATCATAGCCTTGACCCCTGCAGTCCATTATGTCTAAACCAACCGAGCGCAGTTTCTCTAGAATCACCTTAGCGATTCAACAAACGTGGCCCCTTTAAATTTAAAGAGGGAAAGGGCGGTACTTACGGCCTACGAGCGCTACAAAAGGGGCGACTCTAGGCTACCCACCACAATCTTAGTGCAACAGTGGAGAGAGAGGAACCGCATACAAATGCGATCGTTCCTCCACATTGCGGCCAATTTGTCAAAATCAGCTGGACTCTCCACTGATTGAATTCCAATTAGAGGAATTAGTACTTGCCCTCTGTGGAGGAGATTGCCGGCCCCACAAATAAACGTGTCCCTTATAGGGCAAGAGGGAGCCACCAAGAGGCGATTAACACCTGCCATACTCCAAAACTTGGCATCAGCTACACTAAAGTCCTACCCATCAGATGCCATTGTCTGTTATACCGATGGTCGGTAATGAGGGACCCCGATAGATCTTGGTATGGGGCCCTTATAGTCTACCCAGACCGGACAGAACCAGAAATGCCGATTTCTCCGAGTGAGCTTCCAAATGGTTTTGAGGCGCCAGCCAGACTAGTCAGTCTTGAGCACTGTTCATCATTTTGTTTACGTTACAGTACTACAATTAACTAGTTAGTTTTAAAAAAACTCGTAGAAAACAAAGGTTAGCTTATTTTAAAATATTGACATTACAATAGAATTATTTCCAAAATTAAACTATAAATGATAAACTAAGACAATTGTTTAGAGCTAGAGTTTATAAATATATTTGTTAACTCAATATCTAGATTAAACCAATGGACTAAAAAATGAAGTAAAAAAGGTTGGCCTATCTTCTTCTTTATATTACTGAGTATTGATCAGTGTAGTAACAAAATGTACCATGTGTCCGAAATAAATCTAGTAAATTAGATTCAAACTGTTCTATAGCTTACATTGTATGGAAGAAATAGTCAAGGAGATGAAACAAAATAGCGACATGACTAGTTTATAAATCGTTAGTTCATGTTTAAAATACAGTAGTTTAAGTTTGTTCGTGTTGTACAATTAGTCGTTTTTACTGAAACTAATTAATTAATATTATCATTAATCAACATTTTTAGACTGTCAGTTGGCGAAGTATAAAAACAGTAGTCATAGAACACTCATGGTGGGGAAATTTTGGTGCCCCTCCACTTGGTGCCCTGTGCGGCCCGCACCACCCGCACATTGGTAGCTACGCCACTGGCTAAACTGCTTGATAGGAAATCATTTATTTGAAGTTCAAACTTTATTTGGCTTTAAAAAAAGTTAAATATTATTTGATGATCTGTTTTTAAAACGTCTTTGTGTAATAACAAACTAGAAGTTGATATAGTAACATTAGTTTTTAATTGAATAACATTTGGCTTTACTTCAACCTATAGACTTAACTTCAGTTAAAAAAAATTATACCTATAACATTTAACTGTTCAAATGTATAGCATTTTGACCATATTTAAACATTAAGTAATATCTCAGCACCATGGTTGTATTTTTAAAAGCTGACATTTTGCGATCTCTAGTGATTGATAAATAAAGATCATAAAAAATCCACACACAGACACGCAAACTAGATCTCTGGGCAGAATAGTTCTACAATTGTTTTAAAAGCTTCACTGAGATGTTGTATCTTCCCTTAGTTTGAAAACTGTACTTATTTCATAGAGTCACATCGCCTTCCACATTCTCATTTCTCTTCAGCGTTCCTTAATTAGGCTTTCAGTTTCCCCCACCAACTTACACCCTTCCCAGACACACCCAGTACGAAGAAGGAATTCATGTGAAAATTGTCATCTCGTTTAAAAGGCGAAAAACGTTTTTACGTATTTTTTTCATTTTTGTTTTAATAGATTAAACACACGCACACACACACGCGCTAAACTGCCAAAACAATTCATCCATCGTTCATCCAAACTTTGGACCAAAACAAAGTTTCAACTCCAATTGTTTTTACATTTTGTTTGCTCTATGTTCATTTCTAAGTACATAGAAGTGAATGTATTCAAACTGTTTGATCTTGTCATTACTAAACACACACACAAACACACTAAAGGTGTTTAAACTCTTCATTACTAAACAAACACACACTCACATTTTAAATGCTTATTTAGAATCAATAAACCCTACCCATTACACCACTCACTAAATGCTCATGTTAGAATCAATAAACCCTACCCATTACACCACTCACTAAATGCTCATGTTAGAATCAATAAACCCTACCCATTACATCACTCACTAAATGCTCATGTTAGAATCAATAAACCCTACCCATTACATCACTCACTAAATGCTCATGTTAGAATCAATAAACCCTACCCATTACATCACTCACTAAATGCTCATGTTAGAATCAATAAACTCTACCCATTACATCACTCACTAAATGATCATGTTAGAATCAATAAACCCTACCCATTACATCACTCACTAATTGCTCATGTTAGAATCAATATCACATTCTCCTACCGCGTCAGGATATCATTTCAGCGACATAAATCATTTGTAATTTTTTAAAACATTTCTTTCTATTTTTTTAAAGTAAATTATAATTTATTTTGTATAAGAATCTATTATTTCGAACTTGTTTGTTGTCAGTACTGTAATGTGAAACCAATTATGTCGCCTAAAAATGTATTGTAACTGTTCCATGTGTTATTAACAATATTCATCTACTACTTAAAGATTTATAAATCAACATATTTCAGAAATATCTCCACTGAGCTTTCCTTGCAAAACAAATGCAGAAGTATTGACTATTACACTTATTTAATCCAGATCGGAATGTAGGCAAAGTTGTATAACTCAGACATCCAATGAAAGCGTGCTGGTAGTATTTCATCATGCTGATAGTGATCAACTGTTGGTATGGATTGCATTTTATTAAGCCATGGATGGAACGAAATATGATGAGTCTAAAACTAAGAAACACATTTGGAGTTTTAAAAGCAAACTGAAACTTACGTTACTACACAATTTATTGCATTTTAATACTAACTATTAAAGTATTATCTTTGGATTCTAGGGATATATTACCACGTTCTGACTCTAGAATGTAGCATCTGAAATAATTACTGATATTGGGTGACCACAAGTGAATACTGAGACCCCGACACTGTGTAGACTTTTCAACTCCTGACCTGGAGCCTTGTGAGACAATAGACTCATATGAATCATCTTCGGGGTAGAGTCGAGTGCTTTATTTATTTACATATTGTAATACTAGATGAAAGTAATAAACATCATTGACTTACTCTCACAAAAAGGCCGGCCTTAGGCATAGGTAAACTAGGCAGACGCCTAGGAGCCCCAATTAGTGGGGGCCTCACACAGGACTCAAAGAAATATTTTTTTAGATAAAAAATGCAAATCATGGATCAAATCTCAGACATAGCAGAACTCTATGGCTCTATGTCTAATAACCTCGCTCTCAGACATAGCAGAACTCTATGGCTCTATGTCTGATAACTTCGCTCTGAACATTGCAGAACTTTATGGCTCTATGTCTAATAGCCTCGCTCTCAACATAGCAGAACTCTATGGCTCTGTCTAATAGCCTCGCTCTCAACATAGCAGAACTCTATGGCTCTATGTCTCATAACCTCGCTCTCAGACATAGCAGAACTCTATGGCTCTATGTCTAATAACCCCGCTCTCAACATAGCAGAACTTTATGGCTCTACTAGCCTAGCTCTGTCTCTTCTATGACTCAAGGTTTATTTACAAATGTTTTAGATTACCCAAGTTAGAAGACCATACGCTCTTCCTTTTGGTGAAATGTTAAAACGTGATTTCTAGTCTCTTGATCATGAATCGTTCATGAAGTACATTAGTGCTTTCTGTGCTATATGAATTGAGCTTGTTTTATTTAGATATAGATCCAAGACTGCTTATAATGCATTGCGTATTTTTCGGTCTGAATTTTTTGTCTTTCTATTTCATTTGGGAGCCACCCTATTCCCTTCGTCTATGGTGTTGAGGGCCATGCCTTTGACTTTCCATATTAGTTTGAGTTTTGCCAGCATTGCCTCATATCAGCTAATATGTTTATGTATTACTACCAATGAGTATAGAGACAAATACGTACCGTGCTTCTAGGGAAAGTTCCAGGTAATGGATTGCAATAAGATTTAAATCACTCGATGTATCGCATTTTCAATAATTTTAATGTGACTTATTTTATTTAGGTTGATACATTTCAAATATTGTTCTATGATTTAATTTGTTTAGGTTGATACATTTGAAATATTCCTTATAGTCCTATAATAAAGCAATTTGTGTCATTAGTAGCAAAATAAAAAGTCGGAAGAACTTAGTTTTTTTTGTTTTTTTTTTTACATTTTTTGCATTTTATTCACGTATCATTTAAGATTGATTTGTGTATTTATAGAAAGCATCTTTTAATTTGAACTAAAAGGCAATTGCTAAAAATTCACAAAGTATTGAATAAATAAAAAAGATTTTTTTCTAAATACAATAAATCCAAACTAAAGGACGTATTTTATTCTGTGTACTAAGTGACCTGCACGTCAGGTTATGTAGTCTTTAGGACTTGTTTGGTGGTGCATGGAAGGGTTGGATTCCACATGCTGACAATACAATTTACATATAGGATCTGTAAGGAAACAGAAGAGCTCTCAAAAACACTGCTAGCCTGCCTCCTAGGTCGTCATCTAAGCGATTAGTTCTCGGCTAGAGATCTCCCCTGAGCATGGATAATTACACAATGGTGTAGCAAGGCTAGGGGGGTTTTACTTTCTTCAAAATATTTTAGAAGCAGCATGGAAATGAACTATCCCTACCACCGCCTAGTTGTGTGGTATGCACTTTGGACAGTAGGGTGTAATTATCTTCTTTTTTTTTAATGTTACTTTAAAAAATTAGATGATTACGTCCTACGCGTCATGCATCTAGTCATGCATCTAGTCATGCATGTTAACCAATGACTTAAATTCTACCAAGTCACTGATTTTTCTGGATGGCTCAGGCAACCCATTGCATGCTCTAATAGCACTAGGGACCAAAAGCGGGCATCTTAACAACAGATATGACACGATAAATTATATAATTACCACTAGTTAATTAATTAATTGGTTAATTTGTTAATTGATCCTTGTTTTGTTGGGGATAATGAATGATTGTTCAAAGTTTCAACTTGAGCCGAGAATAGGAAGTTGGAAAAAATATGTGTACAAAATGTCTACCAGACAGACAGACGGAGTGAATTAATTTAAGCTGTGTAAAAATAAATGATGCTTTAATTTTGTCAAACTTTGTTATGTAATACTGAAGTAATAGTTATTAAATTTGATTGCGTAACACAATTCAGTAATTAAAAGTTGGATAGAATTATTTCTAGAAATAGCAGGGCCTAACATTTTTTCAGAAAACTTTCTACCATGCTATGAATCTATGCCACTGTAAAAGGTTTCTGATTGGATCTTCAGGCTCCAGAAATGTGAAACGAAAGTAAAGAAAGTTACGATTTTCTTTTTCTCAGTCACCAAATATTGTCATGTGACACGATCACCTCCACCGTTTCACCTGCGTTTCGTAGACATCCTAAACACAGACATGGGGGACTATGTTGTGTGTCAAACCAAGAATTTGGGAGGAAGTGTGTTGACACTGACATGTAACAATAGGATGTAAGGGAGGTAAACACAAGATGCGGAAGCAGACATTTCTGGGCGCTGCCATGTTTTGAAACTTGTCTCATCATGTGACTCAAGCAGACGGCTGACATTCAGCAAACTCTGAAGTCGTATAGATTTTATTTAAACTAGAATGCACCATGAGAATCACAGTTTGAGGTTTGCCAGACGTACCCTATATTTGACTCTTACTTCTCGGCAACTGTATCAAATCAAGTATTAGAAGTGTAGGCAATGTTCATGCTTTATGGAAAAAAACAACAGTCATTTCATCCACATTACTTTTTTTTAAAAACCTACAGACTAGTGAAGAGTGTTTACAATGTCAAGGCTCTATTAGTTCTCAAGGTTAGAAACCAAAAATTTTTTTTTTTTAATAAACGTTTCTTTTGGTTTCTTTTCGTATGTGTATGTGTCTGTGTATGTGTATGTGTATGTGTATGTGTCTGTGTCTGTGTATGTGTCTGTGTATGTGTATGTGTCTGTGTCTGTGTATGTGTCTGTGTATGTGTCTGTGTCTGTGTATGTGTCTGTGTATGTGTCTGTGTCTGTGTATGTGTATGTGTATGTGTATGTGTTTGTGTATGTGTATGTGTATGTGTTTGTGTATGTGTATGTGTCTGTGTATGTGTCTGTGTATGTGTTTGTGTATGTGTTTGTGTATGTGTATGTGTCTGTGTTTGCAGAACAGAGATGCAAACAATAATTATAGTTCTTGAACTAAGATGAAGAAAAGTATTGTGGCGAATATCTGCACTCCGTAGTGTTGTATATCAATAGTGTATAGCTTAATAAAACGTGTATCATTCTTTTTCACATTTTTCATTGCTCTAAGAGCTGAATCTAATACTCTTGGAACTCTAGACTTAACCGACGGAAACTTGCCTCCATCTGCCTGCCTGAACAAACTTCTGTCTGGGAAAGATCCAAGCAGATGTAAATTATTACATCCCTTTTATCAATAGGTCGTATTCCATGACGCTCTAGAAGTGAGGCTGAGCACACCGGGGAAACTCCCCAATATTCGTTCCTTCCGTGCCGGTGTCCGTAACAAAAAAAAAAAAGGTCCTGTGAGGAACGGTGTAGATAGTGACATGTTTGCTGAGGCTTTCTTCCCTCCCCGCCAGTGCAATAGTCCTTAGGCAGCTCATCGGGTGATGGGGGGGGGGGGGGGGGTTCTTTTCTGCTTCCTATTGGCCAATTCGTCTCCTCTGACGACTGTTTCCATCCGAGCGCCACGGTGAGACCGACAAGCAGTATCGGGAAATGTGTATGTTGAAAAAAAAAGGGAGATAAATAAAATCCTAAATTAATATAATTTGTTGTTGTTATTTCCCTTGAATTGCATTGAATTTTTTTTTTAAATTAAGGGTCAACCATAAATGACGTTATTTTTTAAGTGACATTTCAAAAACATGATTTAACGAAAGTTTTACAAGAGCCTTATCTTATAAATTACAGACGTTACTTCAAAAAAAGAAGATAATTCTTGTGTCAATCTAGTCAAGCATGTTTAATCAATGACTTAAACTCTGCTAATCAGTCAGCATAAAAGTCTGACAAGAGTCCACAAGTATCAACACTATACTTAAATGAATAACATAGGTGCGTTTGACCTCTACATTCTTTATTTAAGTAAATATATCAGCAGCTAGACTGATATAACATTAATAAAATCAGTACTACATTTGGAGTCTCTTATCTTATAAAATACAGACGTTATTTCAAAAAAGAAAAAAAAGATGATAAATTCCTACGCGTGTCTCTGGTCAATCTAGTCATCTATCAATGACTTAAATTCTGCTAAGTTATTGGTTTCCCTGGCTGACTCAGGCATGATCACTTGTAATTGAATTTACTTTGAAAGTTTGATGTCGTAATGTAATTCACGTGTTCAAATCTATGCCAGTAGAGTCTCGGCTCTATAATTTGCATCAGAATTTTTGCTAAAGCAATATACACCATTTCATTTGTTGTTACAGCTTTACAGTTGAAAGCTTTGCTGTACAACTCAATAGCTAATAGACTTACGAATACAAACTCGCAATTTTACATGTTCCTTGAGATGCTCGTACTAAACCTACACCAGACAATCCACACCGAACAATATACACTATATCTGTTTACAAAAAACAAAATCCATATTTGAAACAATGGTGGTGTATTTTTGCTGGTAACGTTTAATTATTAATATATTTCTTCCTTTGAATGTACTTCCTTCATTTGTGACATTACTTTGCTGCTGTCTTGAAGTGACACAGTGGACTCCACCCCCAACTACTGGATGCTATTGTTCTGTTCCTACTGTGTGTTATTCAATAAACATGTTTGACAAGGCTCCACCGCTTTGTACCAAAACAATTCACAAGGTGGTAGGCAGACTCCCATGAGTGTTCTATGACTACTGTTTTTATATTTCGCCAACTGACAGTCTAAAAATGTTGATTAATGATAATATTAATTAATAATGATATTCTGTGTGTAGGTGGGGGGTTCAGACACGACATTTGGGATGGGCAGCTAGAACGTCAGAGATTAAATGTATCGCCCAACAGACAGTCAGGCTAGAGACTGGGGAGCCATTTCTTGTCTTCCAGTGACATAGCGTCTGTTATCTTGTGACACAGGTCACGTCACTAATTAGCCACAAAGCTAAAGAGACAAGGAGTTCGAAACGTGAGAGGTATTTCACATTTTCTTCCCTTAGATCTTTTTATTTTTTATTTATTTACATCACCTCCACATTTCTTCAAATTGCTTTCTTTTCGTTTTCTCTCTTCCTGAGTTTATTGTTGAAAGAATGTAACCCGGATGCTAAAAGTGTCAACAAGGATCAGATTACTGTGAACATTCCCCATCTAGATAGTTGTGATATATGAGAGATCATTGTAAAGTTAAAACATTTTTTGAAACATTATTGGACATTAAAGTCCTAGATGAGGTTATTAACACTATGCACAGAACCAAGAAGCTCTATTCATCTCATTCGGAAGTATCGAGTGCCAGGCCAGTCCGTTGTCACGTGTTGAACTTTCAATTTCAGGACAACTGTTCGCTCTCTACGGACCAGTTTCTTTTCCTTACAGTATGTAATCATCAGCTGTTTGAATAAGAGAATGACACCAACTATACCATGATATATGCATGTTAAATGTATACTAAGATAAAGGCGAATTAACTTTTGTTGATATTTATAACATAAATACTTGTTAACTGTATATTAAATAACTCAAATAGTTCACTTGCTATGAAGTACGACAAACACAGCGTCCGCATTTCGCAGTTCCTTTAAGGTATTTCGCGATCTCCTTTCAAAATCAAGTTTATATATATGTTACCAGCAAAGTGCGAAATGTAGGCATTCTATAGAATGTTGGGCGTTTTTAGGAAAAGTACGAAATAATTCTTCATTTTCTACTTTGCCTAGATATTCTATAACATGACTAGCTCTGCGTCTGGTCAAGTAAAAAGACTTATTTAGACAGATGTTTGTACATTCAATATAAATGAAGGAACAACATTTCTTAAGACTAAAAATACCTTTGTGCACCCATGATTTTATACCCTATACTAAGTGAAAATTCAAGTTTTAAATAATATTTTTCAATCTACAAATCGTATTTTAAAATAGCAGACCTATTGTACATCAGTAAATATAA